ATAAGAAGAAGAGGAGGAATTGTAGGAAGAGGCAGAAGAATGCGACACCGAATACTACTATTATGAGTAGTAATACTAATGCGGCTGATGATAACAGTATTTCTATTGATGTTATTAATGTTACGAATAACACTACTAATGATAATACTGAGAATAGTAATAATACTAATAATAATAATACTCATAATCATAATACTAGTATGAATACTAATACTACTAATCATAAGAATTAGACTGCTTAATGATAAGACGAGGCGGAGGATGAAGAAGAGGAAGAGGAGTACTACTAGTCACAAGAAGAAGACTATTCCGAATCAAAATAAGCAGAAGAAGACGAACGAGACAACGAATACGAGGAATCATACCAATAAGAAGAATGATAATACGGCTAATAATACGAAGAATAATCAGACGAATAATAATAATAATAGCAATAGTAATAGTAATAATAACAATACTACTACTACTACTACAAATACTACTAATAATAATGATGATGATGATGATGATGCTGCTGATGATGATGATGCTGATGATGCTGATGATGATGATGATGATGCTGATGATGATGCTGATGCTGATGATGATGATGATGATGATGATGATGATGATGCTGCTGCTGCTGATGATGATGATGATAATAATAATAATACTAATAATAATAATACTAATAATAATAATAATAATACTATTAATAATCATAATAATACTAATACATAATAATAATACTAATAATAATAGTAGTAGTAGTAGTACTAATACTAATAGAAATAATATTAATAATACTACTAGTAATAATAATAATAAGAGGAGGAGGAGGAGGAGGAGGCGGAGAGGGGGACAATGGGGAGGAGGGGGAGGAGGCGGAGGCGGAGGAGGGGAGAAGGAGGAAGGAGGCGGAGGAGGAGGAGGAGGCGGAGGCGGAGGCGGAGGCGGAGGCGGAGAAGAGTAGGAGGAAAAGGATGAGGAGGAGGAGGAGGAGGAGGAGGACGAGGGGGAGGGGGAGAGGGGGAAGGGGAGGGAGGAGGAGGAGAGGAGGAGGGAGGAGAGGAGGAGGAGGAGGGAGCAGGAGGAGTTGACGATGGGAGGAGGGGGGCGG